TTGGGTGTACATAGTTGAGTATACACTTAATACACTTGTTTGCTTCTTAGTTACCCTAAAATAGTTGTGGTATTTTCATAATTTAAGCATTCTTTTTTTTTTTTTTTTGGTACTGGAGCTTGAACTCAGGACCTACACCTCGAGCCACTCCACCAGCCCTTTTTTTTTTTTTTTGGTTGTTGTTAGTGGTATTTTCGAGATAGGGTTTTTCGAACTATTTGCCCAGGCTGGCTTCAAATTGAGGTCTTTCTGATCCCTGCCTCCTGAGTAGTTAGGATTACAGGTGTGAGCCACTGGCACCTAGCAAGCATTCATTTTTTAATGCAGCATTCATTCACTATTTTTACTTTTGTTTTTGAGACAGTTTCACTCTACAGCTTTTAACTCACCAGCCTCAAACTCACCATCTTTCTGCCTCCACCTTCTAAGTGCTGAGATTACAGGGGTGAGGCACCATGCCTGGCTCATCAACTGCTTTTTTAAGTTCCTGTATCTATTGTGTGATTCTGATCACAGTTATGGTGCTTGGTCCTTACAGAGAGCAGTGGTGTCCAGTGGTGAACCCTGCCAGTATCTGTTATTGTAAAAAGCAGTTCTCAAGTCCGGCTGCCACCTCATCTGCATCACCACAGTCAGGCTCTGCAGGGTCTGGCATTGGCACTTTTAAGCACCTCCCCCCCTCCCCAACCAGGGGTTGCCACATGCAACCCAGTGGTTTACAGCTTTGGAATGAAGATTGGGGGTCGGGGGGAGTGCAGGCAGGAGATTCCAGAAAGAGGAACAGGGGAACTGGTTTAAGTCTCCCCATGAGCATAAAAGGCCTTCATTTCTTCAATTTTGGATACAGTCCAGTGTACTATTGTGATTTGTGTAGAGTGTAAAACAAGATTTTTTAAGTTGAACCATATATCACTGTTGAATATACACAAAAAGAAAGGAATGATTTAGATAGATTGAACAGGACATTTATAAAACAGGCCCAGCAGCTAACTCAAGCCTGGGTGGGACAGGGTGTGAGTAACTCAGTCTTATTGCTACAATGTAATGTTGCAAAACCATAAAATGTAGCAATGTAAAATGCTCCTAGCATAGTCACCTGTAGCATTTATTTAGAAAATAATAAAAGTGGTAAGTACTCCCAGTACTTGGGAGGCTGAGGCAGGAACCAGTTTGAGGCAAGCCTGGGCTGCACAGTAAGACCCTGTTTCAAAAACAACAAAAAGTGTTATTTTAAATGAGGAAAAGTGTTTTTTTTGTTTTTTTGTTTTTTAAGAAAATGAAATGGAGAGAAGCAGATTTAGGAAAAAGTAAGCAGCATCACTTCCATTTTTTAGGGGAGAACAAATTCTAGGTAGACCAAATGCTTAAATACCATACCAAAAATCCCCACTGTATTAAACTATTTACAATTTTAGAGTTTTGTTAGCAATTTTACAATAAAGTTAAAAGCAATATTTACTAAAACAAATCAAACAATTTTATTTACAATTTTACATTACTTTGTAGTACTGATACAGCTCACTGCCTATACATGGGTCTGAGTGAGTGGGAAGTTGTGGCCACACCAAATCTGTCCTGTCTCTGCAAGGCTGCATGTGACAGGTCAGGTGTCCTAAATGGACATTGCCACTCTGCCCACAGGCTCATCCAGCTATTCCACACCAAAGAGCTAAGTGGCTAAGAGATAAAGGATACTGAGGATAGTATTTATTGTTCTGTGTATGTACTCTTAGTTGTCTATTCTTCGCGGTACTGGGATTGACTTTGTGCATGGTAGGCAAGCACACTACCACTGAGCTACACCCCAGTCCTTTTTCATTTTGAGGTAGGGTCTCTACTCCAGGCTGGCCTGGAACTTGCTATGTAGCCCAAGTTGGCCTTGAACTCAGGATCCTTTTGCCTCAGCATTCCAAGTACCTGGAATTAAGAGGAGTGACCCACCATGCCCAGCAATGTGTACCATTTACAATAACAAATTAAGAAGCAACCTAAATGTTTACCAATAGGGGCTGATTCAGTTATAGGACATCCTTGCAAATGAAGTTGTACTAACATTGTAAATGCAGATTTTCTGCCATACTCACTGATTATGACAAGGTATTTACTGACAAAGAAAGATGCACAGGGTGCATGACTGATGGTCCCACTTATAAATGGCACTTCTGCATGTAACAAAGATGTTATGTATATGGAATTGCAGTGGGCCTCTGTTCGGGGTTGGCTTTTTCATACAGCTTAATTCCCTGGAGGTGCCCTCTGGCATGGTGGTGCTGCATCCCAGATACCTCCAGGTGTGTCCCAGGACACTTGGTATGTGCCCTGGAATTATGGGTAATGAACAGAAAGAGCTGAAGAAAAAGCAAAGCTGTGGCTTTTCAGGTCACATCTCGAGCTTCACAGATAAGCTGAAGAAGCTGAGTCCAGACCCAGCAGGGATGGCATCAGAGGCAGTGTCCAGCCATGTGGGGTGTGGGGAGGAGGGTATTTGCTCCAGAGACAGTGATGGGGGGAGAGATGGAGAGAGGGAGGGAGGAAAAGAAACACAAGAATGGAAAAAGGAATCTGGGTGACTTGGTAGCAAATTAATGTGCACTCTGCATCTTAAAATTCTCTTTGGTATGATCTATTTTCCTAGCCTACCTCACATTCCTGAGGGTGGACTCTCCAACCACACCCTTCTTCGGTCTCCTTAAGAGGCAATGAATGTGACAGTGCTGTTGTCCTCTAATGCCCTAACCTGAGGTCACTGGTATTTACTTTCCTTTACCACAGTTTGTTAGGCAACTTCTGAAGTGGCCCAAAGGGCATTCACATTAAGTACCACCTTCCTGGTGTGGGCCAAACCTCACGATTTCCTGTTCCTGAACAATACTGCAAAGGCAGCTGGAGTAGCTCTGCTTCCTCTCTGATGTCACAGTCTGAAGCTACATTGGCCACTTGTGTTGGGCTTCTGTGGCTCCTGTAACAAATGACCACAAATCAGGTGGCTTTGACAGCAGTTTATTCCTGTAAAGTTTTAGAGCCCAGAAGTCTGAAATCAGTTTTGCTGGCCTAACACCCATTGTTGGTAGGCCATTCTCCCTCCACAGAGTCCTGGGAAGAATCTATTCCTTGTTTCTTCTAGTGTTCCCAGGCTTGTGGCTCTGCATCAATTCAATTTTCAAGGCCACACCTTCAGAACTCTCTCTGCTCCACTTTCACATGCCTTCTCTTCTGTGTATCATCAAGTCTTCTTCTGCCTCCCTCTTGTAAAGGTGCCTGCGATTGCATCTAGGGCCTACCTGGATAGTTCAGGGTACTTGCCCTCTCTCAAGATCCTTAACAATGACATCTGCAAAAACAAGTTTTTACTCCCAGGTAAGGTACCGAGGACAGGTTGCAGGAATGAGGATAGGACGTCCCGAGCTACTCTTTAGCCGTGCACCACACAGTTGGCTTCTTTCCTTGGAAATACAGGGCGTCAGGTGCTGGCTGAGTATCTGTGAAGAGCCGGTGCCCTTTGGCTTGACAGACGCTCTAGACCTCGGGCTTAGATCCCACACAGGTGTAAAAAGGTGCAAGGCAACTCTGTAGACAGCATCTCATCTTAGTGGACAACCCTGTGGAGTGGGGTCCTGGACCATAATACAAGGTCATGTGCACTTAGCTGGGCTCCTGGAGGTGACCCTGGCACATGGTGAGCAGCATGAGTTGGTACTCACTGTCACATATTCAGGACAAGCGAGGTGAGCAGTTATAACCATAGATGCAACACTGAGAGTCAGGAGAGGGAATGGAACATTCTGGAGGCTTTGGGGCTTGGGGAGATCCAGCTAAGGAGAAACAACTATTTCCCTCTCTCTGACCTGCCACAGCTCCCTTCTGAGTGTTCACCTTATTACACAGCCCAGGTGCTGGACTGAATGTGCTGACCCAGGAAATGACAACAAGGCTCTGGTGGAAGGTGGGCTCCCTGTACTTGGTGTAGGACTCTGGACAGCCAGACTCACTTTGGCAGTTGCTCTTAGGTTAGTGATTTCCCACAAAATCGAACAGGTTGGAAGCAGGAGGCCAGGCCAGTTAGATCTCAGGAAAAGGGAGATACACGGAAAGAAGGCTGGCCGCTCAAGTGTGCCTTGGGGCTGCCCCTGTTCACCGGCCTTGCTGTTCCCTTCGTGGTGTTTCCCCTCTGCAGAAGTGCTGCTACCCAGAGCTTGGTGGAGATGGTACTTCCTGAGGGCTTGCTGCCTTGTCACACGTGGCCTGGCCTGCACAGCGTCCCCAGGCAGGCAGGGCAGCTGGCTCCTCTGGCTTCAGCACTCCGAGCTCACCAGAGTCCATCCTGCGGTCAGGTGACATACTCAGGAATTCCTAGGTTCTTTTTCTGTAAGTGAGCACCCTGAGGATTGACCTCCCACAATCAAGCAGTGGAGGAGCCTCAGCAAATTGTGGAGTGGAGACGCCAGTCCCGGGAGTCGCCCAGCGGCCGATAAGCGTGCCTGAGAAGCTTGGGCGCCCAGGGCTGTTGCCCTCGGGCACTTGCTTTGCAATGGAGACACACGTAGGTGCGTGTCAGCTTCCCGGGGATGGACCCCGCCCCCGCCGAAACCGGTTCACCTGGCTTGGGCTCAGCTGCCTCCTGACGCCGCCGACGGAGCCCGGGCCAGGGTCGCCAACCCCGCACAAGCTCAGAGTAGGCATGCAAGGAGGTCCTCGGAATCCCCGGGGCGCCCAGGCGCCGTCCTCGGCTCTTGGTGGCCCCATGTCGCACCTACTTGGCTCCTCGCGCGCCGTGGTCACCCGGCCTGTCCAGGGAGACATTTCCTAACCCAGGCCACAGAATCCCACAGAGTCGAGAGCCAGCCGCCCCTTCTGACCCCTGCCACCCCCGCGACGCCGGCGGGCCACACCCGCGCGCGCTAGGACCCGGCGGCGGCGCCAGCGGCCAGATGGGCGTGGTTTCCATTGTGACGTCACGGGGCTGGGCTCCCGCTCGCGCGGAGCGAGGGACAGACTGACGGACTAGCGCGGCGCGGCGTGGACGGTAAGGGGCGCGGGGCGCGGGTCCGTCCGCCGCCCCGCCCCTCCTCGGGCTCCCGGGAGCCGCCCTGGGGAGGCTGAGGACGGCCAGCCCGGGGCGCGATCACGGTCCCCTGCCCGGGTCGTGATGTCCCCGCCTGGGCCGTGCGTCCGCCCCTCCCCCCGCGAGCTAAGTCGCTCCTGGGCCGTGTCACCCCCTCTGTAAACCTGCGGGGGCAGTGCACCCCTACCTCCCCGCACCCGGCTCGTGCGCCCTCCGCCCCCCGACCTGGCTGTGCGCCCCGCTCCTCCCTGCGGTGCACCTCTCGGAAGTCTGGGTGCGCGTCTCCAGCTCCCCGAGCCTGCCGCTAGCCCCGCGATGCGCCCGCGACGGGTGTCGGCCTCCGGGACTGTGGGTGCGGAGCCCCTCCCTCACTGCCCCCCAAGCCCTGCCCCTAGGCTCCAGGTCAGGCACTGGTGCGTCCGGGCCAAGCTTCTGCCAGTTCTTTACCCTGGTCCTCCCTTGCCAGGCCGGGGTTGTGGAAGATTGCGCAGGATAGTGGCAGCAATGTGGAGGTGACTGGCAACGTGAGCGTTCAAGAGCCGGTGAGAACGCAGGGGCTTGGGCCAGGTGGACGTCAGCTGGCGGCAGGAAGGCCCGGGTGCTGGGGATGGAAGCGGAAGGCTTGGATTGGCTTCTGGTCCCGCTGCACCAGCTGGTTTCCTGGGTGGCCGCCGGGGCCATGGTCTTCGGAGGGGTGGTGCCGTACATCCCGCAGTACAGGGATATCCGGAGGACTCAGAACGCTGACGGCTTCTCCACCCACGTGTGTCTGGTACTACTGGTGGCCAATATTTTACGGATACTCTTTTGGTAAGTTGGGGACTTTCCTCCCTGGGGACGCCCCCTTTGAGGTTTCAGGTCCAGAGGAGGGGGGGAGTGGAGGTGTCTACTTCCTCAAAAGGACCCATTCCCAGCCCGCGGGAGGCTCAGTCGCACTCGGCAATGGTGTGTGCCCTCCGCAGTCCCCGAACTTGTTAGGATGAGAAGTTGTCTCCTGGAAAGGTGGCAGGTTTGCAGCAGAGGATCCTCAAGAGGATCCTCAAGTATAACCTCCAGATCTGCCTGCTCACCTTGATCTGATACTACCCAGGCTCTCTGTGGGCCCTGTCCTAAGACTGGGCCCTTGCCCTTTTAGAGTGTGTGTGTGTGTGTGTGTGTGTGAACAGTGAACGGAGTGAGTAAGAGTTAGCAGGAGAGTGTTCTCTTGGGCCTTGTGTGGGGAGAGCCTTCCCACCAGTCCTCACTGCGTCTTATGTGGTTTTGTCAGACTTTCCTGATGATAGTTAAGTGGCTACTATTTTTCTTGCTCTTCTTGGGCCAACTTCCTCTTACTACCATTTTCATTGTGCTAAGGAAATTGCAATTAATTTTAACCCTTGTTAAAGCCAGGTGTTCTTGGGAGGGTAAGTTTTCAGAGGAAATAAAAAGACACCTCTTAGCTACATCCTAAAGTCAAAAGAGTCTGGAATTTTCCTTTCTTCTGGTTGATCCCAAGGTCTCTGTACACATAGGAAGACCTTGCAGTTCTCATGAGTATGGCTGGCTGTGGAGGCCAGGAAGAAGGGCTCCAGGTAGCTGGTGGATGAGCTCTGCTTTTGACTTTTTTTGCCAAGTTTTTGATAATCATGCACCTGCCCTTTTACTAGCATTTAAATCAATTTATTGAGGTTACAATTTACATGAAATAAAATCCACCTATTTTGAGAGCACAGTTCAATGAGATTCAGTGACTGTATCCACCCTGAATTCATGAGTGGGCAGTTCTCTCTGCTCCTTTGCTTCTGTCCCAGCCCGGAGCTCAGACAATTATTGATTTCCTGTGCCTCCAGAAGTGGGTTTTGCCCTTGCTGGTGATTAGTAGGAGGTGACAGGGACAGTTTTGGCTCTGAGGTGCATAGTTTGGCCACTGCAGCAGCATTGGAAGATGTCTCCTTGATGTTTGTCTTTGGGTAAGGCTGCTTCTGAGGAAGAGGTCAGTGGTTTCTCATTTTTGTTTAACAAAAGCTGGAAAACCCCACTTTGAAGATTCCTTCCTCCTTTCTGTTTTCCCCTTGGCTGAGAGTAGAGGTCCCCAGCTCCATGTTATGGTAGCTGGGTGCATGGCAGTGGCCTTAATTAAGTTTACGGTTGAATGAAAGCAAGTCCCTAAATCCAGTGTGTGCAGCACTGTTGTTTACTCTGCACATAAGCGGTGGAGACATGCTCTCAGGAAGGCCGCCCAGTGCAGCACAGGCTCAGTGTTTAACTTGTGAAGGGTATCCTACTTACCTTAAGGGTTAAATGAATTTTCTCCAGAATAATGGAGAACTGCCTGAGGTTGGACTGCCACACAGGAAAAGTTCCACAGAGAGGGTTTCTTCTCAGTACACTTTATATTCAGACTTAGAAAAGAAACGAAAACATCTAATGATGGCTGGCTGAGCATCCGGTTTGGAGAAGTCAGAAATGAGGCCAGTTTCCTGGTGTGCTCCACATGGAGTGGTGCACTGGGATTGGTCTCCTTGCCTTTGTGCTGAGGCCTCTGAGAGTCCTTTGAGGCCTCTGTCTTCTGTGGATGCCTCGCCTGTCCTCAAGTGAGTCTCTTCTGTAGAATCACATCTTACGCTGTCCCAGGCCATGCAGGGCTTCCGTGGCCATCCCAGCACATTCTAGGGGGCAGAGGACACTGGCCCTCCTGGGAATCTCTGCTAGGGCTGCACCGTCTGCTTCTCACAGGGTGAAGGCCTGCAGAAGTCTGGGCAGCTTCTAGGATGCTGATGCCCATCTGTACAGGCCCTGCTCCTCCAAGGTGACACAGTGACCCTTCTATGCCTCTCCCTGCAGCCTCTTGCAGCCCCCACTCCTGGTGCTTCTCTCTAGGAATCATGGTCAGCAGCCTCTCTGATTTCACAGGTCTTTGGCTGGAGGTGGCAGAGTTTATGCTTTAGCAGGAGTGTATGCATGGAACATGCACGTGTGTGTGTGTGTGTGTGTGTGTGCACTGCTCCCTTCCTGTGCACACACGGTTATAGGTTGGGGAGTGGAGAAGGGAGAGCAGTTGGGGCTGTGGCAGGCTCCAGGTGAGAACAGTGCTGCTTCATACTAGGACAGTTGTGAGTTGGAATCCTCAATGGTTTCCTAATGCTGGCTGGGATACAGATGAGGTCCAGTCTCTCTGGGAGGTGTCCTCCTGTTGGGTCCTGGTGCACCTTTCCATTTAAGATTTTGGGGTTTTTGTTTGTTTGTTTGATGGTACTCAAACAAACTCAGGGCCTCATGCTTGGTAGGCAGGCGTTCTTACTGCTTGAGCCACTTCTCTCCATTTAAAATTTAAACATCAATAATGTTGATGTTTTCTATTTTGTACTTGTGTGTCTTTGGGGGAGAATTGTGCTTTTTGAAATTTTGTGTCCTACTTAGACTTTCACCTTAAGTCAGTTAAGCCCCCAGCTCTACTTGCTCTTGTTTTGTGTCTCCTTTCCTGTGAACACTGAGTTTGCTCACCTGACTTTGTGGTATAGGGGGAGAGGGCATACACTTTGATTTCTGCATAGTTTTTCAAGTAACTCATTTTATCATGATGCCAGCCTGTTCAGGAAGTAGTGCCCCCAACCTCACATGGTGTCTTTGCTGCTCCATGGCCTGACCTCCATGGGTGAGTTGGCCCAGCTAGGTGAACAAGTTACTAGAAGTTTTGTCTCAGCCATCAATCTTAGGCTTATGATCTTCACTTTGCAAGTGAAGAGACTGAGGGTCAGAGATGGCAGGGCATAGGTGTATGGCCTGGGGGCAGTGTGGTGATCAGACCCACCTTTGGGATGAGTGTGTAAGCTGCTGTACCTTGCCAGTACATCTGGCTTGGGAACCCCATCACAACTTCCTCTTTCCAGCCTGGTGTTCTCTCCGTGCAGGGTCTGGCTCCTCCACACTGTCTTTCTACCCTTCTTAGTTCCTTACCTGCTGTTCCCAGAGGCCTCACAGGAATGGGCTCCAATGGGACCACAGTATCCCAGGGACATTTCTGGTGATGCCCTTGGTCGTCTGTACCCGTCCCTCCATCCACCCTGGGCCCAGGTTGCTCTCTTCTCTCCCTTCCTGTCAGTCCCCTGAGCTTTATGATTTCAGGTGGCTGCCTGACTCTAGGCAGCTGCTCTGTCCCTTGGGTTCAAAAGCCCCAGGAGACATGGGAGACCAGAACCTGCCAGAGCCCCCTCTAAGTGATATCTTCTCACCTGCTGAGTCTGCTCACCTGGGCTGGGAGCCCCTGCCCTAGGCCAGTTCCCCATCAGAGGGGTGCTACTGCCACTGTCCAGCAAAGGTCCAGAGCGCACGCAGCCCTTAAGGCTGGATTCACTCTAACAGTGAAGTATGTTCATAGACACAGGTCACAGAAGCTGACCTGCTTCTGTGAGGTGACACCTCGCAGGGTCAGTACACTATATCGATGGATGGCTTTTCCTGATGCTGAGGTCTGTGAAATGCTTTTATAGTTTTTTTTTTTTCTTTTTTGTGGTACTGGGGTTTGAACTCAGGGCATCACGCTTGCTAGGCAGGTGCTCTACCACTTAAGCCACTCCACCAGCCCTATAAAATTTTTAATAGTGTAAATTAATTGTATGAAGGGATTTTATTGTGTCATATTTATGTACATGTATATAATATACTTTGACAAAATTCACCTTCTATTACTCTTTCTTATCCCCCTTTTTCTCCCTCCTTTTAGCAGTTTTAGTGGGTTTCAAATCATATTCACTCATCACCCTGTCCTCTCCTCTTCCTACCAATTCTCCCCACAAACAGTTCCCCTTCAGCAGTCATGTCTCCGCTCTTCTCTTCTTCTCCTCATTTTTATTTTCTCTACATTCTGCATATAAGCAAAACATTTGTCTTTTTGAGTTTGGCTTATCTTGCTCAATGTGATGACCTCCGGTTCCACAGTTTCCTGTAAATAACATAATTTTATCTTTCTTTATGGCTGAATAATATATGAACCATATTTTCTTTATCCATTGGTGGGCACGAAGGCTGATTCCATGGCTCATCTGTGGTGGAAAAGCTGCTATAAACATGGGGTGCAGGGTTCAGTGTTGTGTGTTGTACTGTACCCCTTCAGATACAGGCCCAGGAGTGTGGTACAGCAGGGTCATATGGTAGTTCTGTTTGTTAGTTTTTGTGGAACCTCCATACTGATATCCATAATTGCTGCACTAATTTCCTCCTCATCCCCCACCCCCACCCCAATCTTTAGGCAGCATTTTTGTTGTTTGTTTTCTTAATGATAGCTGATTTGTGAGATGGAATCTCAGTGTTGTTTTGATTTGCATTTCTGTTATTTCTTCATATTTATTGGTTATTTGTATTTCTTCTTCTTCTTCCTCCGCCTCCTCCTTCTTCTTCCTTTTTCCTTCCTCCTGTTTTTGGTGGTAGTACTGGGGTTTGGATTCTCAGGGCCTTGCATTTGCTAGCTTCTGGCCCTTTTTTTGCTCTAGTTATTTTTTGAATAGGGTCTTGTTTTTATGCCCAAGTTGGCTTGGACCCCAAACTCTCCACTTTAGGGTTCCTGCTAATTGGGATGACAGGCTTGGAACACCACACCCAGCTTTTTATTGGTTTACTTACTGTTTGCCTGGGCTGGCCTCGAACTGTGGTTTTCCTGATCTCTGCCTCCCAAGTAGCTAGGACTTCAGATGTGAGCCACCACACCAGGCTCATACATATCTGAGAACTGTCTGTTTAATTTGTTTCCTACTTATTTATTTGGTGGTACTGGGGTTTGAACTCAGGGCCTCACACTTGCTAGGCAGGCGCTCTACTGCTTGAGTCACTCTGCCAGCTCTTTTTTGTGCTATATATTTTTGACATAGGGTCTTGCAAATTATTTTACTTGGACTGCCCTTGAACCTTGATCTTCCTGATCTCTGCCTCCTGAGTAGCTAGGATTACAGGTGTGAGCCACTGGCGCCCAGTTTATTTACCCATTTGTTAATTGGATTCTTTGTTCTTTTGCTGCTTAATTTTTTTTTTTAGCTCTTTATGTATTTTGGATATCAATCCTTTGTCCAATGAATAGCTTGCAAAGATTTTCCCGTTTTCTGTGTTGTCTCTTCATTCTAGTAATGGTTTCCTTTGCTGTGCACAAATTTTTAAATTTGATGCAATCCAGTTTGAGAGTTCTTACTCTTATTTCTGAGCATTTGGAGTCCATTCAGAAAGTCATTGCCTGTGCCTCTATCTTCAAATGTTTTCCTGTAGGAGTTTCAAAGTTTCAGGTTTTACATTAAGGTCTGTGCTCCATTTTGAATTGATTTTTGTGCACGGTGAGAAATAGGGGTCTTGTATCAGTCTTCTACATATGGATATCCCATTTTCCAAACACCATTTGTTTGAGAGCCTGTCTTTTTTCTAGTGTATGTTTTTGGCTCCTTTGTCAAAACAAACAGTCAGATGGCTTCACTGTGTGGGTTTATTTTTGGGTCTTCTATTCTATTCTGTTCGTCTACATATGTTTCTGTGCTGTTTTGTTGTTGTTACTGTAGCTTTGTAGTGTAATTTGAAGTCAGATTATGTATACCTCTAGCATTGCTTTGGCTGTTGGGGCCTTTTATGCTTCTATATGAATTTTGAGATTGGTTTTTCTTTCTGTGAAGAACAACATTGGGATTTTTATGGGGATGGCATTGAATCTGTAAGTTGCTTTTAGTAGCACAGCTGTTTTCACAACATTAATTCAGCCAATCCATAAACATGGGGGGCTTTTCATCCTCTAGTGTCTTTTTCAACTTTTTTCTTCAAGGTTCTATAGTTTTCATTGTACTCAGAGCTCCCGTACGGGATTACAGGCATGTGCCACTGTGCCTGGCCTATGAAATTACCCTTCTGGTTTTAATTTCTTGAGTGATTTTAGCAAGTTTTTTGTCAGGCTTGCCAGGGTGAATAGTGTGGTTGGATGGTGTCCCCTGAGCTTGGTGCCGGCGCTGGGTCAGCAAGACTTTGGTACACTTACCCAAGTACAATGGCTATTCTACAGTTCCACCCTGTGTTGGTAAGAGGTTACAGTCCTGCTAGGCTGTGGCTCAGGAACTGAAGTAAGTGGCCCTTAGCCACCTGCCCCCTGAGCTCACCCCTGTAATGTACCCCTAAGCTGCCCCTGTAGGTGAGGTGCCCAAGCTGCCCACCATAGGTAACTCATGGCCCCAGGAGCCTGACCAAGTGAAAGGTGATGGGACTAGAAAGGGCTGAGGATATTACTGGATCTTTCAGTTTTCAGCAGAGGTAAGAATCAGGCTGATGTGTAGGATCTCCTGATTGTGGTGTGCTGACCATTAGTTCTGGTTTTGGAACTACCTTTCAGGGCAAATCTGAGGCCATGTCTAGCCAGCATTCCTGCTGCAGAGTGGTGGGTTTAGGATTAGGGTTGGAACTTTTGATAGACCAGGTTCCTAGGCCTTGTCTTCAAAATGGGATGTGGTCCTGCATGTCACAGCCCCATTGCATTCTGTAGGCCAAGGTCGAGACCCCTAGACCCCTGGTTGTGGTTCTGCCCGTCAGAGGCTTCTGGCTAGGGTGGTGAGATGCTCAGTACTGGTGTAGGATCAGCAGGAAGACTTGGGGGCCTGTGGCTGGGGGGTGCTCAGGAGAAAGAGTAACCCTAGGCAGGGAGGCCTAGGGCAGGGTAGGGTCTTCAGTGGGGAAAGCCACGCTCTCAGCCACCTTCTCTCTTCGTGTGTGTGTGTGTGTGTGTGTGTGAAGTTGATGTTGGGCCACTTGCTCCTCTTCAGACACTTTTGTCTGCGCTGGAGACCCTCTTTTCTGGGCAGGAAGGACCACTGTTGTGGACTGGAAAATGGCGTCTTGGTTGGTCAAGGCTGGATGTCTAAAGAGAGGGCCCATGCTAGGCTGTGTTGTGGGCAGCATACAGGCTCTCAGCCTTGACCCTAGGTGGGATTCTGTGATTGTGTGTGAGCCAGAGATTCCCTGGAGCAGGGAACATGGCATTTGGAAAAGTTCCATGTGGACATTGTGTCCAGGTTGCTGTGCTGAGTCTGTCCTGGGTCTCTCAGCCCCTCCCCACCCTGCCCTATCCCACATGGACCCCAGAAGATGGGGCAGTAAGTGCCAGGGCTGCACTGGGTGCAAAGTACCCTCCCAGGGGCTCCTGATGCAGTTAGGGACCTGGCTGGGTAGAGGCTATGGGAGTGCTGGTGGGGACTGGCACCTGCCCACATCCTGATGTGCCCTCTCTTTGCCTCCCTAGGTTTGGAAGGCACTTCGAGTCACCACTCCTGTGGCAGAGTATAGTCATGATCCTGACCATGTTGCTGATGTTGAAACTCTGCACTGAAGTCCGAGTGGCTAACGAGCTGAACATAAAACGCCGTGCCTTTGCAGGTGGGTGATTAGCACAGCCTGGAAATAAAGTCTCGATAAGTAAGTAAACAAAACTTGTCTCGTGGGTAGGTGTGGCTGCTCACGCCTGTAATCCTAACTCTTTGGGAGGAGTTAGAGATTGGGAGGATCTCAGGATCTCAGGTCAAGGTCAGTCCCTGCAAAAAGACCCCCTCTCAATCAGTGACTGGGTGTGGTGGTGTGTCTGTCATCCCAGCTGTGTGTGGAAACACAGGAGGATTGAAGTCCAGGCTGGCCTGAACATAAAGGGAGACCTTACCTTAAAAATAACCAAAGCTGGCAGAGTGGCTCAAATGATAAGAGTCCCTGCCTAGCAAGCTTGAGGTCCTGAACTCAACCCTCAGTGCCACAAAACAAAACAAAACAAACCAACCCCTCAAAACCTTGTTTGCTGCTTATTTGTTGAAAGAAAAACCACTTTAGTGTCATCTAAGCAGCTCTGGTTTTACTAAATGGTGATTTTCTGTAGCTGACAGTAGAATTTTCAGTATGTTAATGATATTAAACATTTCACTGTGGAACAATTCCAGTTTTTCACTGTAATCTGGGTATCTTCCTGGTACTTCTGTCTGTACCCTAGCTCTGTGTGTCTTCCCTGACTCTGCAGCTTGTCAGCCCGCTCAGCATGACCACTGGCCTCATCGTTCTCACTCACCTTCTTGAACAAATCCAGAGTCATGCCTTGTGGGTCCAGGTGATCTTTACCTGGAGCATACGCAGGGTCTCATGCTCTGTGGTTTGGACCTGGGCAGGACCAATTGCACCTAGCACAGGATTAGCACATGCAGCCACTTCTCAACTTTGGGCAGCTCAGAAAACAGAAAATACTTCCTATTTTGCCATCTCTTTTGCAAAATTTCCTTCCAGCCTGACGTTCTATACTGAACGTGCTGGCTGGTAGGCTTCTATGAAGGAGGGCTAAAGCCTTCCTTTTATTTTCATTCTAAGACCACTTTCTCTGTCTCTCTCTCTTTTTTTTTGAGACAGGTTCTTGTTAGCTCAGACTGGCCTTGAACTTTTGATCTTCTTGCTTTAGCCTCCTGAGTGCTGGGATTACAGATGTGTACCACCACACCTTTAACTTTATCTGAGAGCACAGTGTCTAATCTCAGTGGCTGCTTAGAGAAGTATTTTCTCAGAGCTTGTTTGGTTTTGGGACTGCTAGGGTAGTGATGCTCATATATATATTTATGTCCATATATACATATACATATATATATAATATATACATATATGTATATATATATATTTCTTTGTGGGACTGATGTTTGAACTCAGGGCTTTGTGCTTGTGAAGCAGGGTCTTTACCATGGGAACCATACCTCTAGTCCTCTGAGCTCTGGTTATTTTGGAGAGTGGGGGTCTCTTAAACTATTTGCCCAGGCTGGCCTTGAACTGTGATCTTCCCTGATCTCAGCCTCCCAAGTTACTGGGTGTGAGCCCACCAGTTTTTTGCTGATTGGTCATTATTTTCTTCTCTTTGACAGATCCTTCATTTCTGTCTGAGTCTGTTTTTAGACAAATGATTGGTGGTGTATTCTTTGTAGAAAGTGGGTCAGCCCCTTGCTCTGATGAGTAGCCTAGACCAGTTAGTATATTGTAACTATAAAGATGACTACTAATGCCTGTTTTCTGGTGTGTTCTTGGAGTTTCTCCCCATGGATGCTACCTTCCCTCCCCTCCCCTCCCCTGCCCTTCCCTCCCCAGTCCTGCCCTCCTGTTGTGATTTAGGTTTAAATGATGCCAGAGCTGGTGCTGACTACACTGCCCAAGCTCCCTAGAAAGAAAACAGGGCTTTGTAGTGGTCCAGGCCTGTTCGAGGGAGGAGCTTTGGTCTCATGTCTCTTTCTGGATACCTTGGCCTTACTTCTCCCATGCCTTGTCTCTTCTTTCTGTACCCAAGCTTGCTCACAACAGGGTCTGTGTCCCTCTAGCCTTAGCCTCCACTTCAAACAGGACCTTGTCATGGCTGCAGGATGGGGCAGTGCTGGAAGGCTGAGGGATGACTGTGCCTAAGACACCAGATGACTTGCTTAATGTTTGTGCTGCCCTGGGCTGCAAATAGACAAGCAGGGTTTGTGGCCTTGTTTGCAGTTGTTTGTATGTTCTGATGGTGACGGATGCCAGATGTCAGAGATTATAGGCTCCTGTGCCTTAGGCAGTGGAGCAGTTTAGAGTCTTGTGTTTACTTAGCTGTGGAACCACACTGCACCCACCCCTTCACCCCAGGAACAGGAGAGGGCGAGGGCTGTGGTGCTTCCTGAGCACAAAGACCCTGGCATTCTCACCAGGGGAAGTCTAGAGAGCAAGTAGGGGTGGGGTTATTTGTTCTCTTGTTAAATTTGAGTGGGTTCCTCTTTTTATGGGTACATTTTTCCAAATGAGTATTTCCATTCTGGTTAACTAGGATTGAATTAAAACAGTGAATCTGTTTCCAGGGCTGGGGCTGGAATCTGGATTTGTGACAGGGGCCTCCTGTGATGGGGAGAATACCTGCCCCAGGCATGTCTGCCTAATCAGGGGACCTTGTGTGGCAAAGGACCTCTGCATATGTGACTAAAGTTGGCCTTTGAGGTGGCGTGCTCCCATGTGGCCCAAATCCAGTTTCAAGGGAGGAAGTGGGACCATGTCCTAATAACTCCTTGGTGCTTTGCTGGGCCCCAGATCTTCTCCTAAACTGTGGTGGGACTGTCCGGTCAGAATTCTTGATGCTTGCACCTTCAGCATGTTTAGTATGGTTGAGTTCATTTCACATTTACATAGTTTCATGCCTGCTTTTTTTTTTTTTTTTCATTTTTCTTTTATTATTCATATGTGCATACAAAGCTTGGTTCATTTCTCCCCCCTGCCCCCACCCCCTCCCTTACCACCCACTTCACCCCCTCCCGCTCCCCCCCCTCAATACCCAGCAGAAACTATTTTGCCCTTATCTCTAATTTTGTTGAAGAGAGAGTATAAGCAAATAATAGGAAGGAACAAGGGGTTTTGCTGGTTGAGATAAGGATAGCTATACAGGGCATTGACTCACATTGATTTCCTGTGCGTGGGTGTTACCTTCTAGGTTAATTCTTTTTGATCTAACCTTTTCTCTAGTTCCTGTTCCCCTTTTCCTATTGGCCTCAGTTGCTTTAAGTATCTGCTTTAGTTTCTCTGAGTTAAGGGCAACAAATGCTAGCTAGTTTTTTAGGTGTCTTACCTCCTCACCCCTCCCTTGTGTGCTCTCGCTTTTATCATGTGCTCAAAGTCCAATCCCATTGTTGTGTTTGCCCTTGATCTGATGTCCACATATGAGGGAGAACATACGATTTTTGGTCTTTTGAGCCAGGCTAACCTCACTCAGAATGATGTTCTCCAATTCCATCCATTTACCAGCAAATGATAACATTTCATTCTTCTTCATGGCTGCATAAAATTCCATTGTGTATAGATACCACATTTTCTTAATCCATTCGTCAGTGCTGGGGCATCTTCACGCCTGCTTTTTTTAACACTGAATATTCCTGAAGGCAACTGTCCTGACCCCAGAGGGCTCATTTCCTTTTATCTGCCCAAAACGGAAGGGTGGGCGGGGCATGGAAAACCCCAGAAACTCAGCTCCTTTGGCTGCTGCCAGGAGGCACCTCCTTTTCTTGCCAGTGGCCCTCTTCCCACAGGAAGCTGTTGCTTCCACACACCCTCGAGTGTCACCCCAAAAAGGAAGCACCCTGGGGTAGTGCCATGGGTCTTGGGAGGTACAATTCCAGGCAAACTGACCATGAATGCAAAAATAGTTTATGAAGAAATTTTGGAAGAACAATCATTTCAGTGTTCGCATAGGATGAGAGCTTAGACATTTCCCACTGGCCTGAGGGTCACCAATTCAATTGGCAAGTTAAGAGTAAAGAAATAGAAATGAAAGGGCAGGCTTAACTAAAAACTAAATTTGACCACATGAAGTGAATGCTTGTGGGAGGCATTTTGGGAAAGAATGTAAAGAAGGAGGAAACAGTGGAAAAGTAATATATAGAAAGTGTAAAATTGCTGGCAACTTTAAACATTTCAAAATAATTTCCAAGATTTTTCTTTTATAGTCAGTGACCTATCACAAAATTTGCATAATTTTCAAACTTGAAAATACCTCATTCTGTGAAACTTTTGCCCATCCCTCTGCCCATGCGGAGATGGGATCTCATGCAGTTTCTGGGGTGCAGGGGTGGAGGGGTGTCACCCAGAGTGAGCCATTTCTCTTTTCGAGGCAGAGTGCTCTGTGTTGGGGAGTGAGTGTGCCCTGGTCCTGTGTGTGTTGGGTGTGTTTGTTTTTGCTTCAGTTTTTATCATTGGAAATTTATAACATTTACAAAAGTGAGGGGATTGTTTAATGAACCCCCAGGTGCCAGTCCCCCTTGGGTCTGGCAGGTTTTGAGGCAAACCACAGACATGGGTGTATTTGTAAATGCTTCAAATGCATCCCTAGAAGATAAGGACTTAGAAAACACGGTCAATACCAGTTTCACTCATAAAAACACACAATTTCTTATCACCGTATACCCAGTTGTGTGTAAATTTACAGCTCATTTTTTAACTTTTTGGCTACTTTGATTCCTTGACTCAGAATCCAAGCACAGGCACACTGCCATGGCTGATAGGTCTTTTATCAGTTGTTTTTGGTTGGTGTTCTTTGTCATCTTTTAAAAATTAAGTACTTTTGATCTATAGCTTGGCCCACCCCCTTTCTCCTTGAACTGCCACTGTGAGCTGGGTGTTTGCAGGTGCCCGGCTCTGTGTTAGTGCTCTGTGTACAACACAGGCATGTGGAAATGCAGACTTGAGGGAGCCAGAGCTGTAGATGTAGGGCCAGTGGGCATACCTATAGTCCATTTTGCTCTGGTTATTTTAGACATGGAAGAAGGAGGGTGGATCTCATGAACTATCTGCCTTGAGCGCAGATCCTCCCATCTCAGCCTCCCAAGTAGCTAGGATTACAGGTGTGAGCTACTGGTGCCTGGTGCCTATGGTGTTTGACAAGACTCCTGAGGATGCTTGGTAGGCTGTGTTTTGGGAAGCCCTGCTATGGGTGGGTCTAGTTTGGATTATGTGGTTGGATCCAATGGTAGTTCATGACTTTCTGTCCTTGGCACATCCTCTGAAAGAATTTTAAAAGACCCCAGAGGCCGAGTGGACCCTGGGGTGGCCTTTCTGGGGTCACAGGACTGTTGTGTTCTTCCTCAGAAGGCAGAGGCTATATGCTCTGGGATAGCTCACAACAGTGTAGGTGAAACAGTGGTTTGATTGGGGGATTGTATGCTCAGGGTTGCATGGCCTCAGGCCATGTCTCATCAGGGATAGACATCTCAGAGCCATTAGGAATGGTGCCTCTTTCTGGATGCTCCACCAGCTGGGTTCATTTGAGCTGTTTTGTTCTAAATTTACTTCTGCTTTTTGAAAATTTAATTTGGTTATAATGTATTTTTTCCTGGAGTTATTTGAGAAACAGAGTTGTCTCTGGCTTAAACTCAGGTCTTTAGATTTATTTTATGCTTGCTCCAAATCTCAGCACTCAGGAGTTTTAGGGTGGAATTGGCTGAAGTGAGGTGTAGCATCTGCTCCTGGGTACCAACTTTCCTTTGGTGTAAACATGATCTAAGTTTGGTGGTGGTGGTGGTCTCTCGAGCTCTGTATACTTTACAGGGTGAGTTTTTATGAAATGTTGTGTGGTAGGGTCTCTGCCATCCTGTGTGCCTTTGCAGGTGGCTTACCAAAACTCTTGGGTGTCACTGTAGGACTACTGCCTCAGCTTAACGTTGGCTTTCCTTGGTTCTTGCTGGGGCCACTGTTGTCATCCTTCCTTGGTCCCCAGGTTGTTCTCCGTCCCCCCTGCAGACATTTTTCCATCTGCCTATGCCAGCCCAGGTAAATGCCCTTACATGGACAACCCTTCCTGAGCCTTGGGAACCAGCTGGGACCTCTTGACATCTGATAGTTTCCTTCCCTCTGTCCTATCTCAGCTCAGCAGAACCCTTGGCCTCATCGTCTTCTATTCAGGCCTCTGTGGCTACTCCATAATTGATACCAAAGCTGAGGACTGAAAAGGACAGACTGGGCAGACCATGGCAGGGACAGCTGGTCTCTGCTATCCTGGGTGTCCACTGGGGAGCCCCAAGGCTGGGTGGGGAGCCCTGGTGCTTGCTGACTTGCCAGTACTCTCTGTGCTCTCTCGTTCTTTCACTCACTCACATGGTTGGTGCTGGCTGGACTGGGCCCTTAGCAGTCCCTGGCACACCCCCACATGGCCTCCCTGTGACCAGCTTGTGGCCCGGCTTCCTTACATCATGATGGCCAGGTCCCAGGGAGAGCATCCAGGACAGCGTGGGCGGAAGCTGTGTCTTTCTTGCACTCTAGGTGTGGTGGTCATATGGTATCACTTCTGTGACTAGAGAAGTCACAGGCCCTCCTGCCATCAAGGGGGAGGACACAGACATACTTCCTGGTGGGGAGAATTCAGGCAGTGGGAAAATGTAGACTGGAAGTGTTGCCAGTGCTACGTCTAGATTCCCAGTGTGAATGGAGGACCTGATAAGTCCAGATTCATGGTGATAGGAAACATTACCTCTGCTCTCAGCTTTGAACTTCTGGCTGTCCAGGCAGGAGACTTCGAGGCTTCAGGCTGTGCCCAGACTAATCCCATGTCCTGTGCCTCTGAGTCCTGGGCCATGCCTTCTGACCCTCTATGGGCCTTGTGCTAGCCATGCTTTGTGCCAGAATGCTCCAGCATACTCGCTGTCTCCGTCCCCACTTCTAAAGTGGGACTTGTTCTTCAGAAGAGGAACCAGTGAATGGTGAAATTGGCCTGAGCTCACAGTGCTGAGACAGAGCAGGGTGCCAGGGAGCTTCACTTTGCACAGTGTCCTTGGTTTATAAACTGCGGATAGGACAGGCAGCCACTCCACCTGAGCAGTTCCTCACAGGCACCTGCTCTGGGGCAGCACCCAAGACCAGGCAGCAGAGGTCATCTAGTATTTGTTTTTAGCTGTTGCAGCATTTCCAGTTTAAGGTCAAGTCCACAGTGCATGGGGCGGTACACAGCCTGTGATCACACCTCTGTCTCAGTCACTTCCATCCCAAACTGTGGGAGGCTTGTGCCAGCCGCAGAGGTCCCTGGCCTTAGGGCCTTTGGCAGCTGTCCTGGCCAGTACTAGCAGGGAGGTAGAACCATGGCCTGTTATTTCAGGTGTCCTTGGCTGCCCTGCAGGAGGTGCCTGCCCAGGGAGACTGTCTCTGCCCCGTGCTGTCAGATTCACATGTCGAAGTAGCTGTCCTTTGACAGTGGACATGTGATCACGTGTGATCTGGAGCAGCTTTGTCAAGAAGCCTGTGGAAGTGTTTCGGCCTGGGTCAGCTGCAGCGTGCCTGAGCTTCTGGGGACGGGAGAAGTGAGACTGACATACTGCTGTCAGCAGAGCAGGCACTGTGGCTTCATGGGCCTTCACTTTAGAAATAGAGTGAAGGTGTGATGGCTTAGATTTTGACCTGCCATTTCTTCCCCTTATCCCTGTTCATCATCTTAGGATATTACAAGAGGGTTGGTCTGGAGAATAGTTTAGAAAGTGAGTTTTTGAATACGCAGTAATGAAAATCTTAGATTTCTGCATCAATGTTTTGCAAAAAGGCTGGGCAACGGTGGCTTACCAGTGTTAAATCAATCTGTTTTGTCTTTCTTCTTCCTTCCTTCCTTCCTCCCTTACTTCCTCTCCTCCCTCCTTCCTTCCCTCCCTCCCTCCCCCTTCCTCCCTCCTTTCCTCCTTCCTCCCTTCCTTCCTCTCTCCCTCCCTCCCCCCCCCCTCCCTCCCTCCCTCCCCCTTCCTCCCTCCTTCCTTCCTTCCTTCCTTCCTTTTTTTTTTTCCTTCTTCTCTGTTTTTAAATGTAGCTGCAGACGGTAAGGACGAAGAACTCAAAGTCCCCCCAAGGCGACCCTATCTGGGTATGTACCATGCTGCATGAGGCTACCACTGACACCTGCTCCATTCCCTGCCTGTAGCTTGCCCCTGTGAGTGAGTCTCTTCACAGAGCGTGGCCTGTCTACAACACACTCGTAGCCCACAGCAGCCCCTTGCATGAAGTGCTTAGAGCCTGCTGGCTTTGTGGTGGTGTGGGGAGGGTAGTGGAGGGAGGCGGGGAGGAAGGGTGGATGGAGAAAATTCTAGAGTACAAGCTCTAAATTTATTCCAAACTAACTCTTTTTGGTAGTACTGGGGTTTGAACTCAGGGCCTCACACTTGGTAGGCAGGCCCTTTACCACTTGAGCCACTCCACCCGTCCTCCAAACTAACTCTTTGATGCCGTTGTAAATGGAATTGTTTTCTTGGTCTTGGCATATTGATCTGTATCCTGCACTTGTCTTTGTTTGTTTTCTTGCTGTGTTGTGCATGCTAGGCAAGTGCTATACCACTGAGCCAGACCCAGCCCTGGATCCTGCAACTTCCGGTACTCTTCATTAGCTCTGGTTGCTGTAGAGTAGATTTCTTAGGACTATTCTTATACAAGATCGTGCCATCTGCAAACAGGGACAGTTTTGCTTCTTCCTTTCCATTCTGGTTGTTTCTTCATGTCTTGCCTAATTACCCTGGTAGACGTGGGAGTTCCGTCTTTCCTATTTGTGGACAATTACAGATTTTTCACAGTTGTCCGTTAATAAATAGCTGAAGGGAGCTCCCTGTTATTCTGAGTTTGTTTTTTTTTTCTTTCTTTGCTTTTTTTTAAATCATGAAATGGTATTGAAGTTTGCCAGGCACTTTGCTGTGTCTGTGGGAGAGAATTGTGTTTTTGTCTTTTATTCTGTTATTATGGTGCATTGCATTGATTGATTTTTGTATGTTGACCCAACCTGTCATCCTTGGGATAAATCCCACTTGCTCATGGTTATAACACTTTTTATTTGTTGCTGGATGTTGTGTGTTACCATTATATTGAGGATTTTTTGTGTCCATATTCATAAAAGATATTGATTGGTCTGCAGTTTTCTTTTATTGTGATGACTTTTAGTGTGTGCTAATTATAAGGCCAGTATTGCAATTCATCTTTAAATATTCACTGTAATTATCTAATGAACCCATCTGGGCCTGAGCTTTCTTTTGTGGGAAGTTTTAAAGTTGGGAATTCAGTCTCTTGCTGTAAGTCCTTACAGATTTTCTGCTTTTTGAGTCTGTTTTTGTTGTTTGTGCTGGACTTTGTTTATGTCACCACAGTTACCTAATTTGTAGGCATTTGGTTTTTCTTGGTATTCTCTTGTAATCCTTTTTATTTCTGTGAGTCTTTGGTAATGACTAAGTCTCTCTTATTTGGTAAGAATAAGTCTCTCTTATTCTTGACTGTGGTAATTAGAGACCTCCTGTTTAGACATTCTAGCTAAAAAGGTTTGTCAATCCTGGTTTTTTTTTTTAAGAACCAACTTTTGGTGTTGTTAATTCTCTACTGTTTCTCTGTTTTCTAGTTTATTTAATACCACTCTAATCCTTATTGTTTGTTTTCTTCTGCTTGCTTTGGGGTTAGTTTGATTTTTGTAACATGGAGGGCTAGATTGATTTTTTTTTCCTTTTTTTTACTTTGAAATTCATGTATTTGTAGCCACATTTCCTTCTAGTCAGTGAAGGAAACATATCTTATGAGCTTTGGTTTGTTGGAGTTTTGTTTTATTCATCTTAAAGTATCTTCTCATTTCTTCAGAATTTCTTTGATCCATTTATTATTTAGAAGTATGCTGTAATGTCCATATCTTTATGAGTCTCTTAAATTTCTTTATGTTACTCATTTTTTTTCTTTTTTTTGTACTAGGGTTTGAACTCAGAGCTTTGCACTTGCTATACAGGCCTCTACCACTTGAGCTACATACCTCCAGCCCTTTTTGCTCTGGTTGTTGTTGAGATAGGGTCTCATTTTATGCATGGGCCAGCCTGGATTGCAGTCCTTCCTGTGTTACACTTCCTGCTGTAGCTGGGATGACAAGTGAACCCCCCCATACCCGGCTTGAGATTATAACTTGCAAACTATTTTGCCCAGCTGGCCTGGTACTGTGATCCTCTAGATCTTAGCCTCCTGTGTAGCTTGGAATGACAGTATGAGCCACTGGTGCCCAACTTTTTTGTTACTGGTTTCTAGTTTAAGTCCCTTGTGATTGCAGAACATGCTTCAATTCCAGTACTTTTAAATTGAAGTGTGTTTTGAGACCTTGCACATGGGGAGTGGTCCATGTTGACATGAGGATTGTGTTTTGCTAGTGGGTGGAGGTGAGGTGTCTGTTAGGTCAGTGGTTTATAGCACTACTTAGGTCTTGTCTTTCCTTTTTTTTTTATTGGCAGGCCTAGGGTTGAATTAAGGGCTTTGCACTTGGAAAGCAGGCACTCTCCCACTTAATCCACACCTCTAGTTCACCTTCTTTGCTCTAGTTATTTTTGAGATGGGGTCTCTCAAACTATTTGCCTGGGCTGGCCTTAAACCACGATCCTCCCAATCTCATCCTCCCAAATAGCTAGGATTACAGGTGTGAGCCACTGGTACCTGGCTTCTTACTCATTATTCATCTGCCTAATTGTTGCATCATTACAAAAGTTGGTATTGAAGTCTCCAACTATTTTTAAAAATCTTTCTCCCTTTTCATTTCCATCAGTTTTTTTTGCTTCATATATTTTGGGGGGGCACTGTAGTTAGATGCATGTAAGTTCATAGTTATTCTATCTTTTTAGAGCATTGGCCCTTTTTATCATGATAAGATGTCTCTCTTTGTTTCCAGTGACACTTTTGTTTTAAAGCCTCTTCTGATGTTAATGTAGCCCCTTCAGGTACCTTGTGGTTGCATTTTGAGTGGTTGATCTTTTCTTATTCTTTTACTTTTAATTTTTTGTGTCTGAATCTAGTGTGTCTTCTGTAAGACATCATGTAGGGGGTCTTTGAATTTTTTATCCCTGAAATTCTGCCCTTTGATCTGCTTATTTGATTGACATTTAATAATTGTACCTGCCATTTTGCTTTTTTGTCTCTTACATGTATAGGGTTTTTCCTCAAACATTACTCTTTTCTTGCTTTCTTTTGTCTGAAGTGAATATATTCTAGCACAACATTTTAACTCCTTTAGTGATTTTTACACTATGTTGAAAGTTGAAAGTTAGTAACGCTAAGGTGAATTTCCTTAAATCTATACTAATTTAATTTTGGCAACATAAAGAAACCTCATTTCTACATAGTTCTATTCCCTCCTCCCTTATTTGATGGTATTGTATCTGTATATGTTACAAGTCTAACAATTTATGTTCTAATTGTTACTTTGCAGAAACAATTTTATGTCTTTTAGTCTATAGTAACAGATTTTAGGTCTTTCAAAGAAGCTGATGGAAGGAAGGAAAGCAAATGCCTACCTGCAGCATTGCTGTATTAACCTTACTTATCATTTGTGGCTGTCTTGATTCCTTTTGTGGACTCAGTTCCCACCTGCAGTCATCACCTCCTTCCACACTTGATTATAGCCAAAAGGCTGAGAAGCCTTTGGTTCTCAAGGGTGATGCCTGCATCACGTTCTCCAGAATGGCTTTGCTTGTACCTGCTCCTCTTGTGCAGTTACTTCAGTTATGCTATGTGTCTGCATGTTGAAGCCCCAACATAACATTACATATTGTTTCTGCTGCTGCTTTTTAAGCCAGTCAAGAAGGCGCTCCATGCAATTGTATCATTTGTAGTCACCTCCAGAACTGCCTTTAGATACACACCTTGTTTGTTTTCTGCATAATCAAGTCATCTCTGAGGTCACTGCTTTCAGCATGGAGAACTTACTTTACTGTTTCCTGATGGCAACAAATACCAGGTTCTTGTTTTTCTGAGGAAGTCTTCCCCCCGCTCAGTACTGGTGTTTGAACTCAAGGCCCTATGCTTGCTAGTCAGGCATTCTACCACTTGAGCCATGTCCCCAGCCCTTTTTGCTTTAGCTGTTTTTGGGATAGGATCTCAATTTTTACCCAGGCTGGCTTGAACAGTGATTCTCCTATTTATGCTACCTGTGTAGCTGGGATGGCAGGTGCATGCCACCCTATCTCAGCTATTGGTTGAGCTAACTTTTTGCCCAGGCTAGCCTTGAACTGTTCAGATTTTCACCTCCTGAGTAGCCAAGATTACAGTTATGACCCACTGCATCTGGCCTGGGGAAGTCTTTATTTTACCCTTCCTAAAAGGTCAAGTTTTGTTGGCTTAATAAGAATCTTGGCTGGCAGTTCTTTTTCTTCCCTGCACTTTGAATACCATTTCCTGCCTTCTGGACCCTGTTGTCTCTGATGAGAGATCAGTGGCTGCCCACAGCCATACAACCCTGAATGCACCCTATTTCGTCTGATCTTGGAAGCCAAGCAGGGTTGGGCCTGGTTTGTACTGGGATGGGAGAAGTCAGTGGCTGATTTTTTACTGGGGTTTCTTTGTAAGTGGAAAATCGCTTTTCTGTTGCTGCTTTCAAGATTTTGTCTTTTTCTTTGGCATTCAGCGTTTAACCTGTAAAGTGCCAGGCTGTGGACCTCTGTGTTCCTCATGCTTGGAGTTAACTGGGCTGCTGGGTTAGCAGTTTCATTGTGTTTGGAAGTATTCAGTCACATTCTCTCCATGTACACTTTCTGCTCCTCTCCTCTCCTCGGGTGTGCCCGTTATACACGCATTAGTTTCCCAGTCTCTCTGTTTTACTTCGGTTTTCTTTGTTCTTCATCTGCATAACCTTCACTGACCCACCTTCAGGTTTACTGAGTCTTCTGTCTGCTCAGGTCTGCCCTTGAGCCCTTGGAGTGAATCCTACTTCGGTTGTGGTTTGCTGCTCCAGGATATCCCCTGGGTTCTTTGTGACTTCTCTTCCTGTGTTGATGTTCTTTCTTGACTGGGTGAGAGGCCCTTACTTTGTCTCTGTTAGGTCTTTGAACTTTCTCTTGTTGCTTTTAGTTCTCTGCACATATTTAGAAT